TCTAATCTGGGGAATTTCTGTGGTTTTCAAACTTTTTATTAACCAGCAGAACTTTTTTTCATCCCCAGTGACAGTTGACACATGGGAGCCAAAGCAGATAAAAGCAGAAGTGCTGAGGCTGGGGCAGGGCCTCCCATGTCCCAGGCTACCCCAGGGACCCTTTCTGGGTACTCAGGAAATCAATTTGAAAAACACTGAATTTCAGAAGTTGCAAACTGTCTTTTTGGCTGACTGCAGACTGGGGTTGTTATTTGAATTGAATTAGTTGCCAACATTTTGAAATCAGGACATTTCCTTCCTGTTTCCAAAAATCAGGAGATCTAGCAGCTTGGAGCCTGAACTCACTGTCCCCAAAGCTGAATGATGGTGGTTCCCATTCAGAGAAGGCCGGAGCTCCTGCAGGAGAGGCCCCTGCTCCCATCTAAGTTGTTCTGCTCCGTAGCCTCTGCTTGGTCCCTGGAGGCCATCCAGTTTGTGACCTTTTGGTTAGACTAACCCTTTGATCTGAGATGTTATTTGAAGATTGTCAGCTGAAGTTCTCCATTCCCGCAGAGGCCCAAGGGAGAAGAAAAAAGATTATGCTTAAGGAAGAAATAAGTCGTTTAGATTAAAAGGAGCTCTGTTTTAGCATTCTGCTGAGGACGTGTACACTGACTTCTCTGGGGCCGTCTTTGAGAATTGAGGTCACATCATTTGAGCAGAGTAGCAAGCTATTTTAGGCATACTTTCAAGTCATTTAAACATTTCATTTGACCCACTGACACATTTACTGTACTTCAGTCACTGGATAGCCCTGGGCCATGGTAGCACCCCATCCCAAAGTTCTGGACAAATAAAGATTTTGCAATAGGATATGTTCAAATAGAACACAGCGATCCTCCAGCCAGCATCTTACCATGGGGTGGGGGGAAGTATTTGGAGGGAGCATCATTTCCTGCTGCCACCACAGCAGGCAGAGAAATGGGATTTCTCCCACAATGACCAAGTCTCTAGGATTCCCAGCTTTCGCTTTGATCCTACCCTATCCCAATAAGTCCTCTTAGGAAAAAGGGATCCAGCTTTCATTTGAGCATATCTACGTGGTTTTAATATATTGTGTATTGCGTTATAAGCATTTTTCCATGTGGCTGCATAGTTTTTCACAGTTCATGATTCTAAATGGCAGTGCAGCATTCCATCCTGTGGATGGGTGGTGATTTACTAACCCCTTCCCTCTGGGGGACACTCGAGTTGCACCCTTACTTTTGTTGTTGTTCTTATAAACAGTACTGTGACGGACATCTCCATCTGGCCTGTGAACTTTTTACCACTGTGTTAGGGAATCTTAAGATACAAAGTGCATTTAATCAGAGGGAGTTATAGCCTTCCAGTTTTGTCACAGTTAGGTTGGTGCAGGTTCAAACCATTAGTGTTACAAAGTCTTTCCCTGTTGGGGCCGTCTTGCAGTTGTCTAGTTACTCCTGGCCCTGACTTGACTTTGTCTTTTTTTTTATTCAGATCTCCCTAAACAGATTGGCTTGGGTCTTGTTTTGCCTGAGCTATTCTCTTTCATTTGTCACATCTCCCTTTCCTGCCCATCTGCTCATGCACAGAGAGGCCGTCTCCCTTTATTATAGGCCGGGGGCTTGTCTCCTAGCCTCAGCTGACAATGCTGTCCTCACAGCCTCCCCAGCTCAGCTGGCTCCTAGATTTTGTCCAGAAAAGTACCACCCTTTCCCCTGACCATCTTCCAAAGGGCCCCCCAAAAAGTCCACCCAACCTGCCCCGTTTCACCCTTTAGTTTTTCCCCCCCTCCCCTCTGAGCCCTTCGGAGCCCTCTCTCAGTTTGGGGGGGCCAGCACCAAGCTTCAATTCAGAATCCTGCCTGTCCCTTGCCCCTAGCTGGCCACAAGTGCTCCCTGCCCTGGGATTTCTGCATTTGCTGTATTATATTCAGAGAATCAGCTCGATCAAACTGCCCCTGTCTGCATCCCTTATCAACCCACAGGGACCCTGAAGAGAGAGTGGGGGCTGGAGAGTTGCAAGGCCTAGTGTCTGGTCCTGGCAGAGACCTGAATGGTTGTGTGGCCCATGGCCAGCCATATCCCTGCTCGTCTCTGAAATGAGAGGGGTTAGATGAGATGTTCTTGAAGGCTCTTCCAGTGCTGAAAGCCCCACAGCAGGCGAAGGCGCCAGCTCAGAGAATCAGGAGGTAGGAAAGTTCCCTCGACAGCCTCTTAGCCCAGCTGCGTTCCTTTCGAAGAGCAAGACTCAGTAGTTACCAGGGAAGTTCGGTTAGTGCAGAAGCCCCTGGTTCACTGCAGAGATTGTGTCTTTTGGGCAGGTTGACCCAGCCATTCCTGAATTATAAATCCTTTACAGTGAATGTGGTCATCCATTGTAATGACTGAGATTTGGCTAAAATTTTCTCTGTATTATGTTTATTTCTTTTCTTGTCCACAGGGTGGTCCAGGAGGTTCCAGCACTGGATTTGGAAACTTCGAGGAAATTGGGCCCCTTGACAGTGATCTCAAACCACGAAATACCACCTGGGTACTGTGAGGACAGGCCCTAACTGAACCTGCCCTGTGGCCTGTCAGATGCTGGGCCCCGCCCAGCCCTGCCTAACTCTGGGTGGGGTTAGCAATCCACCCTGTCATGCCTTTTCTCTCTCCCTGTGTCCTGAGGCCCAGGGCACTTGTCCAAGGGCTTCTTCTGTAGCCCAGCTTCTCCCATTTCTTGGGACAGTTTATCCCACACTAATCTCTCTTGCCTTCTCCAGCCTGGTGACCTTTCTCTCCACCTGCCTTCAGAAACCCACTCTAGCAGACACCCGGGTCCCTGTCATTACTCACATGTTGGCCATCTCTGTAGTCTCAGACTCCAGGGCCCCACCCTCTGACTGTGATTTCCAATCCTCTTCTCCCTACTCTCCTACCTGTGTCTTGACTATATCAAGACTTCAAGTCCGGTGTCTCCTCCCCTTTTGATGTCTCTCTGGTTCTCTGTCTCCACACCTCCCACCCCCACCCCATTCTTAGCGTCACTTCTTTCCCTAGCCCCTCTGGTCAGCCCCTCAGCCCCTGGCTCCCTTTTCAGCCTTGCCAAGCCCACCCTTGGGCCAGTCCCACTGTCTACCCACCCACCCCTTCTCTCAGGCTGCCACACACTGACGGGCAAAACCGCACTGGTGGCAGGCTGGGGTTGCACAATCGCAGGCTTCCCTCAGGGCTCACAGCTGTCCTTGGCTCTGTGCCTCTGCTCTGCGCCTCTCCCAGTGGCACCTGCTGCTGTGAATGTTCCCCACTCTCCTCAAGGCTCCTCCAGCCTTCCTCTCTCATCAGGAGCTCACCTATCTGTTCTTTCCTAAGTGCATTCTACTTACTCTTGCCTCAGGGCCTTTGCATATGCTGCTTTCTTGGCCTGGAACATTCCGTACTTGGTTCCAACTGAAATATCACTTCTAGTAGCAGTAGCAGAGCAACCCACTGGCTTGTCCCTAAACCCCCCAGAGCTAAAAGGGCAATATGACTGAGGCAGAGACTGAATGAGGGGTGAGGAGCCCCAGGGCCTAGTCCTGATGCTGCCTTTACTTATCCAACTTTGTGACCTTTGCTGGGCTTTACTTTCCTGGTCAGTAAAAGATATGTCTGGACTGTCATTGCTAAGACTCCTTTCAGATGTAAAATTTTATACTCTCCACCTCTTTGGACAAGGTTTTAGAATAAACACCTCTTTTTGCAGTATACAGGAAAGCCAGGCCCAAGTGGAAATTTGATTAATGTCTAAGAAGCTGACATGTTATATTCACACCTTGAGTGTCCTCTCACTGCTCGGACTCATTGCACGGAGTGACACTGCAGGGTTCCACCTGCACTAGTGTATTACATTTAGTACATTTGTATTGTGTATGTGGCAGTAGCTTAGACTCTTTGATCACCATGTATATGTTAATCTTTCCTTCTTGCCTCCTTTTTTTAGGGGGGAGTGTGGTGAGTGGTGCTGGCTGGTATGGGGATTCAAACCCTTGACCTTGGTGTTAGCAGTATCACACTCTAAGTGAGCTAACCAGAGCCAGCCCTTTCCTTTTTTTAAAAATTTTGCCTTTCTTTGCTGCAGTCTGTGTTCCCAACCCTTATTTTTTAAAAATCCCTCTGAGCCACAGGACATCACTATCCTCACATGTGTAGTTTTTGCTGAGCTCGTACAAGATGATTAAAAGAAAATTGGTAACCAACTGACTGATTGCAACATTTGGGTTTCCTCTGTGGCATATAGCTGCAGGCTGCCAGTCTCCTCTTTGTGGAT